TAGATGACATGCACTTCAAAAAGGGGGGGGGGGGTTTGTCAAAGGTATAATTGTAAGAATTGCCATTACTTTTGTCCCTGAGATTTGTAGTATAAAGTGACATAATCAGGAGAGAGTGATGTTATCAGGAGATTGGACAATGCACTAGGGAGTGCTTGAGGATGTTGGAAATTTCCTTATTTTATATTGAGGGCAATAGGGAGAATGGTGGCAAGGTCAGGGAGAGAGAGAAGCAGTGGGAAGATAAAAGGGAGAGAGATGAGAAGGGCAGAAAATATTGGCAGAAGAATATGGGATGAGAGAAATATTATTGAGATAATTCCAAAGTGAGGCTGTGACCAGCAATGACATGGATATAGGCCTAATGGGTTGAAAGTTTCAAGTAACACTCAAGTCAAAATGTCAAAAGTTCTTGTGCAGGTCTGAGGCCCAAAGATTCTGAAGATCTGAACAGTTCTAATGGAGGTCTTCGATTAATGATGGTGACAGTCTTTGATTGTGCTTAGAATTAAAAAGAGAATATTGTTGGGAAGTGTGGCTCTGAGAAAGTCTCAGGCCAATGGAGTTGATAATTTCTCATGTTCTGGAAGTTTGAAACAGCAACAGTTTTAGGTGACTGAGGGAAGATTAGGTACATCTGTAGATGGAAGCAGATAGAACCTAAATGGTTCCAAATATCTTCTTTGTTAAAAAATGTTGAAAGCATTCACATTTATTTGGGAAATTAGCTCAAGGTACTGGCAGAAGTTTCTATATAGGCAATGATCACCTTTATTTTTTATTTCATTTTAAAAATTCATTCCACAATTTTTTATTGAGGATTTACTGTCAACAAGTCAGAATTACAAACTTCTTTAGAGGGTGTTCATTTACTCATTCCCTTATTCATGTAGTCAATCAGTTCATTCAATCATACATTGAATCATTGATTGCCAGTGACTACAGACATATTCATCTTCAGAAATAACTTTCTACAGTTTTCAGCCATTATTAAATGTTTAGGAATTTTAGAAGTGTTGGTCAAATGTAGGAAATCTGTGAAGAAAACCATAATAATCTACTTAAACCAATTATCTGTATTTGAGATCACAGGATTATAAAACTCCTACATAACTGCTTCACTGAAACCATGAATTAGTCACTATAATTTAACAGGATATTTAATGATCTTACTTATCATTAAATAATGACCTATGTTTTATGGTTTTTATGTTGTTTGTAGCACTTTGCAGTCAGCACAGGTGGCTGAAAAACAATTATGTATTCTGTATTACTTTTAATCTACCATCTTCTTCAGATTTAGAAAAAATCAAGTGATTTTTTTTTGCCATGTAGAAGGATGAGTCCCAATCTAGATTTCTGCATCTCTGTGGAAAGGAGTCACATTGTTAGGATTATTTCTGGCTTAGTATCAACCCAAACATGGGATTTAGAATTTTTTCCTTGACTCCCTACTTTATTCCAGCCATAAATACCAGTCTGTGGCATGCAGGAAAATTTAACTTGGAGGTATGCAGGTCATAGGAAGAGGAATAAATCAAACCTTACACACTTAACAATGAAAAAATCATATGTCAAACATCCCTGTTCTCAAATTCTTTTGACCACTCAGGGGAATCCTATGGCCAAGATTTCTGCTTTTTTAATCTCATCTTTCCCCTTAACTTTATTTTCCCTCATTCTTCTGCCAACATTCCCCCCTCCAAAAAGACAAAATCAAAGCAAGCTGTTCTTATTTCATGAAAGTAACTTAGTTCTCTGCTGTTTTTTGAGATACAATGTCAAAATCTCATCTCTTTCTCTTCATAAATTATCAAAATATTTTCTTAAAAAAGAATAGTTCTTTTTTTTGAAACAACTACTAATACTGTTTAGAAAATATATAAACACACCATCGATTACATTTGCATTTTGTTTTACAAACGCTAAGTACTCTAGCATACTGGACTATTTGAAATTAAAACCTCTTTATGAATGTGCATGAGAAAGCACACTTTTCATGCAGCATCATATTAATAAGGAAAACAAATCTGCACAATTTTAATTTGTCTTTTCAGAAACTCTCCTGGATATCACTTTCATTTAGATCTTATTCCTAATGGCACTTAATTGGTGTTACAATACGGGTATTCTGTTCTATGGGAATATTATTTGAACATTTTTTTCACTGATACTGACTTAATATATACAGTTGTGTTTATGCACTGACAAATATACACTGAAGACCTACTATGTGCTATGCTTTAGGGAAATGGAATGGGTTGAGAGTCTATAGGTATGGAGACCAAGGAACAGAGAAGCAATGCCATAGCAAGTTCAGGGACAGTGAGGCTGGAACTTTCAATGAGTAGCTATTGAGTCGAGTGAGACTCTCTATATCTTTCAAATGTGAACATTATATACTTTTAACTAGCTGGTATAGCTTCAAAATTGGCTTTGCCTGATATATTCAGGAAATTCTGCAGCAGATGGTGATCTTGTTTGCTTAGTAATTTAGTTCTTTTTTTAAATATATTTTATTGATTATGCTATTACAGTTGTCCCATTTCCCCCCTTCACTCCCCTCCACCCTGTACACCCTCTCCCCACCACTTCCCCTCCTTTAGTTCATGTCCATGTGTCATACTTATAAGTTCTTCAGCTTCTACATTTCTCATACTATTCTTACCCTCCCCATCTATTTCCTTCTTATAATCTATGCTGCTTATTCTCTGTACCTTTCCCCCCTTTCTCATCCTCCCACTCCCCTGTTGATAACCCTCCATGTGATCTCCATTTCTGTGGTTCTGTTCCTGTTCTAGTTGTTTGCTTAGTTTCTTTTGGTTTTGCTTTAGGTGTGGTTATTAATAATTGTGAGTTTGCTGTCATTTTACTATACATGTTTTTTTTAAATCTTCTTTTCTTAGATAAGTCCCTTTAACATTTCATAAAATAAGGGCTTGGTGGTGATGAACTCCTTTAACTTAACCTTATGTGAGAAGCACTTTATTTGCCCCTTCATTCTAAATGAAAGCTTTGCTGGATAGAGTAATCTGGGATATAGGTCCTTGTCTTTCATGACTTGGAATACTTTTTTCCAGCCCCTTCTTGCCTGTAAGGTCTCTTTTGAGAAATCAGCTGACAGTCTGATGGGAACTCCTTTGTAGGTTACTGTCCCCTTATCTCTTGCTACTTCTAGGATTCTCCCCTTCGTTTTTACCTTGGCTAATGTAATTATGATGTGCCTTGATTTGTGTCTTCTTGGGTCCAACTTCTTTGGGACTCTCTGAGCTTCCTGGACTTCCTGGAAGTCTATTTCCTTTGCCAGAATGGGGAAGTTCTCCTTTATTACTTGTTCAAATAACGTTTTCAATCTGTTGCTCTACCTCTTCCCTTTCTGGTACTCCTATAATTCAGATGTTGGAATGTTTAAAGATGTCCTGGAGGTTCCTAAGCTTCTCCTCATTTTTTTGAATTCTTATTTCTCCATTCTTTCCTGTTTGGTTGTTTCTTCCTTCTGGTCCACTCTATTGTTTTGAGTCCCAGTTTCCTTCCCATCACTATTGGTTCCCTGTGCATTTTCCTTCAATTCTTTTATGGTAACCTGCATTTGCTCATCTAATTTTTGACCAAAATCAACCAATTCTGTGAGCTTCCTGATCACCAGTGTTTTGAACTGTGCATCTGATAGGTTAACTATCTCTTAGTCACTCAAAAGGATTTCTGGGGCACTGATTTGTTTTTCTGTTTGAGCCATCTCTCTCTCTCTCTCTCTCTTTTTTTTTTTTTTTTGGCCTGGTCACTCCTATTATGGCGAGGGACAGAGCCTTAGGTGTTCACCAGGGCTGGGCACCCCAGTCGCTAGATTGTGACGTTGAATGTGAGGGCGGGGTCGAGAGGGAACAATGGCGGTAGCTCTGTTCTCCAGAGGACCTCAGTCCCTTCCCTGGGATCCTGGGTTGCGTGCTCTGCCCTGCTCCACAATTGCCATCTGCCAGCTACTGCTTGCATACTCAGGGTCCACCCTCTGTGATCTCGCGCACCCCAGATGCCTTACGTGTTCCGGGTTCCCTTGTGCACCCAACTCTCCCTGCTCTCTGCGCTGAGACCTGCGCCTGACCCATGCCCAGCTGCTTGTCTCTGCCCTTCCTACCGGTCTGGATAAATGGGTCTATTTCAACTTCTTGGCTGTCCAACTTCCATTCAAATAAATTTTCTATCAGTTTTGGGTGTTATTCTGCCTCTAAATTGTTGTTGTTCCAATCTTGGTTGTGCGTGGAGGTACGGTGCATCCACCTATGCCTCCATCTTGCCGGAAGTGTGTGATTGAGTTCTTTACTTCATGGAAAGAAATATTTTAACATGTTTTTAACTTAAACATAAATGTTTTAAAATCACATTTCCTAGCTTTGTAGCATTTCCTCAGACTAGAGTTCAGATAGCCATCTCTTTTTACTAAAATCAAATGTAAATTTGTTTTTGGAAAAATTGTACTACAAGGAATGTACAAATTTTAGCATAAAATACTGTAATATAGGAATAAAACTATTTGAAATAGAATTTCTTAACTTTACATCACTAATTCATTCAGATGTAAATGGAAGATATCTTTAGAGTATGACTAAAAACCAAACCAAAGCCCTGTTTGGGGTTATTTAATTACCTTATGAAAATCTTTATAGCTAAACAAATTTTTCCACAGTTACATACAATTACATAAATTTTCTTTCATTGCATCAGAAAATTCAGTAGGTCATCTCTCCCTCTCTCTCTCTCTCTTTCTTTCTTTCTTCTTTTTTCTTTCTTTTTCTCTTTCTAGCTACTCCTTTCAGTGAGGTAGCTCTGAGGTTATGAAATCAGCCAAACTTCAGCCTTCATTTTGACTCATTGTATAGTTAATACACACTCTAGGGACAGTTAATGAGGAAAGGTGTCTTTCTGCTTCCACTTAATCAAATTAATTCAATTCAGTTCATTTATTCATTCAACAAATATTTTATTAAGCACCTACAATATGCCAGGCACTGTGCTGGGTGCTGGGGATACAACTGTGAACAAAATAGACACAGTCCCTGCCCTCAAGGAGCTTACAGTCTAGTAGTTATACAGACAAGTACACAGGCAATTACAATGCAGTATGGTAAGTGCAGTAATGGGGAGAAAACATTAAAAGGGCACCTAACTCAGTCTTGTATGCAAGGGATCGTGGATGGAAATATTCCCAGGGCAGGTCAAATTCAATTTGAGTACTGAAGGATGAGTACAAGTTAATCAGGAAAAGTGGAGATAGGAAAGAGTTACACACTGAAGAAATAGTAAATGCAGTGTCCCGTGTGCTGCTTTTGAGGTTCATTTGCAGGGGAGAAAGGTTTGGTAGGGGTGAGAAAAGTCTTGCAAGACATAGATAAGGACTAGGTCATACAGAGACTCATTTTCTCTGCGTAAGAGCTTGGAATTTTGAGGGACTAATACGTGTGTGTGTCTGTGTGTGTTAATAGATTTTAACTTTTTTACAGATTGCTTTTACTACAGCACAGAGATTGAATGGGGGGTGGGAATCTTGAGTGCTGAGGCAAGGTGATCAGTCCTTTACCTTTTCTGCTGTTATCTTCCATGATAACACACCCTGTGCTCTCTCCAGCCTATTCAGCAAACAAGCCAGTGACATGCACAGCTTTGGGCCACTGCTCATCCATAAGGCTCTTACCGCCTTCTCCATCTATGAAAACTCAACTCATCCTTCAAGGCCAGACTTCCAAAATAATCCTAACTTGTGCTTTCTGTCAAGTATGATCTCTAAGTGTTGTGATGTTTATTTGTCTTATAGTACTATTTATTATTTCAAATGATTTGCAACTTCTTTTGTTCTATGTTAATTTAATCCATTCATAACATGAGGTGCCTTTTGTAAATAAACATGGTATAATTTTCTTCACAATTTCCATTTGAAAACAAGGACATATTCCTCATTTGTTGTTTACCACAAACTATTGTTAATGCCTTCAAATGATTTAAATGGAATCACAAAAATGGGGGCAGAAGCCCAAAGGGACACATTATTTTATGCAGCAAAATACAGTCAAGTAAAATTTCAATATAATTACAGAGTATGTTGCTATTATGAGTTGCTGTTATGACAATGGTTAATTCCCCAATTCAAACACTCCACCTTTGACATTAACCTGCTAATGAGGCAAAAATCTGTAAAAGAGGGTAATCTAGTATGCAAAAATAATAAGGGCTAGCTATATTTTCCAATATGGCCCACACTTTACAACCCCTCCTATAGTTGTATAATTTCTCAAATAACTTTTATAATGATAAGAAAAAAACTTTAAGCTCTGTAGATATTATAAGAATGTCTGTTGTTTTATTCTTTTTGGTGGGTACAAAAACCACAATTTTGTACACAGAACAAGAGTATAAATAATATCGATACCATGAGTGACCCGTAGTCTCTTGATTCTACATTCAGACTGATGATTTTATGTTAATGTCGTCTTCATTTTATTTTTTCCCTCGTAGTGAGACAAATGCAACCTGCGGACACTGATTCATGTGAAAGAGTGAAGGTTACAGCAAACAAGATGACCAACACCTTTTATTAAAAAAAAGTCTCTAAAGTTTATTACAGTGATGGCATTTATATCAATTATTGCAATGTATTGTTCCCTAAGATGGTTAGAAAAAAGAATCGTGTTGTCCTCTACAGAATTTACATCAGTTAAAAAGCAAGCATGTTTCAGTATTTTTCTCCAAAGTAAGTGTAAATACGTCCTTTAAATTTTTTTTCACAGGATTTACATGTTTGTTTATCATTTTCTTATCACAGTTTAGTGATTTGTTTTCTCAGCTGGATGGTCTTCCCTTGATTATATGGGTGTTCTGGAGACACAGATTAGCAAGTTCATTGACTTCTACAATTATTTCACCCCTTGTTATGAGGAAACAAGGCCTTTCTGAGCAAGAACTTCACAGTTGATGTGCTAACTCACAAGTCTAGTTAGTTTTTAAGTCCTCGCGAGTGAAATTTGTTGCTGTTAATACACCCATCCCAGATCCCCCCACCCACTCCCCGAGAAAACCTAAGTTGTGAGTTTTCCTGATATAAAATCCGAGTTTGGGTTTCCGAGCTGAGCTCATGCACACATTGCTGCTGCTGCTACGGTCCGGGGCAGTGGGACGTACTTCCCGCTCTCAGCCGAAGGGTTGGTTGGATTAGCCAAGACCCGCGAGAGGCGTGTCCCTCAGGGCTGCATTCCCGTCAGTTACCAACACAGTTTAATTAAGGCACTCAATTATTTTTTTGGTTTTTATGGTAGGTCCGATGCAATGACAGCCAATCCTGAACTTTGTCTAATTGCAGTTCCAGTGTGTACAGCCTTTGGGCAGTCGGGCGTCAACACGCGGCCGTTTTCACCCACACTCCCAGTGATGGACAGTCTGGCTTTGTTTCTTATGGCTTCAGAAAAAGTCAGCTGAGTTGCATGGAAAGGAAACAGAAAGAATGTGGAGTGTTACAATATTTCTGTTTCTTCAACAAAATATGACACAACAAACACCAAAATATCAATATTAGACATCTGCATTTTTCCATATTCTTTTGGTCATGTGAAAACTTGTATGCTGGGGGAATAAAAGCTCAACTTAGGGAGGAATGAGTTGGTCTAGAGTGTGTGGTCCTCCTATGTAAGAACTCGTTTGAGAATCGTCATACTAGGTTTTGTTTAGTAAATTTGGGTAGGACACATCTTTTAACTAGTACTTGTAGTCCAGCTTAAAAGCTCCTTTGAGTCTGTCTTGCCACAAATTGTCATTACAAGGTTTTATAAAATCCTTTGCAAGGATTATACTCTTAAAATTGTGATGAATTGTCTACACAAACTATATACATAGAATGTTCATGACAGATTTTCCTGTTTTCAGATCTATCCACAAACACTTTTCATTCACACCCATTATAGACATGACGCAGAACAGCACAGTTAGTGACATAAAGTTCATTCCATGCCTAATACGCAAGTGAAGGCTCATTAAGAAGCTGTATGTACTTAAGGAGGTGCACTGAAAGGCGGCATGTTTCAATACCTCACGAGTGGTCATCACTGGGGAACTTCCCAGATTGAGGTTATATGGTCAGGTTTCTGAAATCCTCATTAAATTCTTGTTCTCTGTCATATTAGGTAGCAGATAATAATATTACACAGTGGAGAGACAGGTAGTGTTATGTAAATCTACTGTTCCCTCATTGCCTTTAAATTCTTTCTAGAACTGACTTTTAATGTTAACTCAGAGGAAAATGAGGTAAATAAGATATTCCCTAAATTTGTTATGGCTTAGATCATAACTTTCTCATAGCACATAATGTATCTTAATTCCCCATCGTGATTTAAGTCAGCTTAATTCTTCAGGAAATTCTATCCTGTATTTACTCTGCCATGAAGTTTACATATTTAAATAATTATATATTAAATACTAAAATTAATAATTGGATTAAAACTATTATAATGAAAAGGTTTATCAGTCACCCTGATAACTTAGAAAGCTGAAGTCAAATTGCTAGGTAATGACATATTTATGATAAAAACCAGATTATTATCATAGTTCTGCTTTAGTTAACAGTCTTAGTAATACCTGTCTTCTAATCAGAAATAAGGATACAATCTTTATAGAAAACCCACTTATTGCTAAATTAAAACAAACCAAGACCAAAGTCTGAATTTATTTCTTCAGATTCCCTTTCAACTTTAATATTAAGTAAAATAGATAACTTTTTTAAATTAGTAGTTTACTTCTGTTTTAATTTTTTGAAGAGGAAATACTAAAATACAATGAATAAAAGCAGTGAGATTTTTTAGATGGAATTTTTGCATAAGGCTTTTGCCATAAATTTTTTTTTGTTTCCTTTCTTTTCTAGACTGCCTTTGTAAGGAAAGGAAAAGATCCAAAGCAGGAAACATTCCACATATTTTTGAGTACTCTCCTTCTTTGTAGATTAATGCAACCAAGTGTGTTAGTTAATAAAGCTTGGTCAACTCCTTATTTTCTCTTTATATCTTAGCATTCTTAGTTCTTAGCATTCTTATTTCCTATACTGTATCATCCAATACTTCCATAAAAGGTCATTTCTGTTCATGTTGATATGAATCTATTGAGGCCGTTCGAACTGGGGAACTTTCTTAAAAATTCCTGTATGGTCAAAAAAAGCTTCTGTATGGTCTGTGTCTGGCTGGAATGTTGTGACTAATGGCCATGGCCTTGATTGTATGTGTTGTCATTGAGGGATGGTCCCTTGTACAGTTGAATTCTACCATACATGAAGGCTTTACGTTTTTGTTTTTTTTTTTTAGATTTGGGGACAATATTATCTAAATTATAAAATATTTGCATAATTGTGGCCAATAGAGTTTTTGAAAGGAAAAAGCCATTAAATATGAGAGTGTAACAAAAATAATTTACTTTCAAGGCTTCTCTACACAGGTGCAGCTCATTTCATTTACCCTAAATTCTATCAAGCTTTTTCAAGTCATATGGATATGAATGCTTTATTTTTATATGAGATTTATTTTCTTAAAAGTTCAACCTAGCTATAGAGGCATTCATGTGAGGAACTGTGATGCCAGGTTCCGACTCCAAAATCTTTATTACATGTAAATTGTATATACATAACCTGGGGATTTACATCTCTTTTTAACAAATCCCCAGAATGTCAGCAATAAACTGACATCCATAAGTATTTCCTTCCCAAATTTTCTTCTTTCTTTCTTTCTTTCTTTCTTTCTTTCTTTCTTTCTTTCTTTCTTTCTTTCTTTCTTTCTCTCTTTCTTCTTCTCTGCCCTTGGATCTTGATGGTGGTTGGCATGTTTTTGGTATGCTAAAGAAGAGTTAGTTTTAATAAACTGGTTAAAAATCTTATATAAAACACCTTATAAAATTTATCTCAAAATGAAATCTAAATAATTAGCTCTGAAAATGTGTCAGGTATTGTTTTTCTCAGTTTGGGAAAACCTCAATTCTGTAACTATTAATTGAAATAAAAGTATTCTTATAAAGGCCCAGAGACTTTGACATCATCCTCATTTGTTGTTTTGCTATTCAACAGCATGCTCAAAACATTCTGATCTGAGTGAATTGAGGGATTTGTGGTAATTCTTTTCCACAAAATTGAGAAAGAGCCACTTTGAGCTTACTTATGTGCAGTTATACTCAGTCATTGATTTCTAGGTTATGGATAAAAGCAATTAGATAAGATATAGATATTTCAATAGCTTTCATATGACTAAATGAATATTAAAATCAAGCATGTTTACCTGGTATAACCTCAGATTACATAGATCTTATTATGAAAATTATATTAGGTTTTTGACCTCAAGGCACATCAAGCTTGGAATGTCTCTTTTGGGTTTAAAGGCTCGTTTGCCATTTTCATCAAAATGAGCATCCTATTTAGTTGGCTATTATATACAATTTTAGAAAATCAGGCCTGTTTTAGAGGCCCGATTTTAGGAAGAGCAATAACAAAAGCTTTTAGATCTTATTTTAAAACCACTTTCAAACATTACAGGAAAAAAGTAGTGGACGTTTAGTTTCTTAAAAAATGATCTCCATCTGCTGCATTTCACCAAATGCCTGGAATTATCTTTTTCATTGTGACGCAACGAGAACGTGGAAGTAAGGCTGATCTCGCTTACTGAAGAGCGATAGAGAAAAACCTGTAATAACTCATGGCAATTTTTATCTTTTACTGTGTTCCTCCTAAAGAATACATATATTGCTGACATATGTGATGGAGAAACTGCTATATTACCTAAAATGTCTGCTTGCCTTAGTGATATTGTGAACATAAAAGGTGAATTTCATCTAATAATTGTGAATTGTGGTCTATATCCTGATGATTGCTCTTGCCTCAAGGTCCGGCTCAAGGACTACTGTCAGATGAGTGAAGGGCTGGGTTTTACTCTTTAAACATATAGAATGAGGGCTAATGTAAAGCAAATTAGAATAGGAGTTAAAATTTGTTGAGCTTTGAGTATATGCCTTGGAGCTTTTACACATATTATTTCTCAGAAATCCTTATCTGAGAAACAATAAGCTTTGATCATTTGAATCAGGTTTTATGCTTATTTTGTTAATGTGTATTTTAAAATTTGATTGTCCCAGAGAATATTAGCTTACAAGGAAACCCAGATCTAATTTCCAATTTCTTTTAAATTTTGGGTAGAACATACTGTTTAAATCATTTCGCAAGGCATTTCTTCTGGTTTGTTTTGTCTTTCTGACCCTTTTAATGCAGATATCTATTGGCAACATAAAATTTCGAACAGTGCAGCCAAAGAAAACCCATCCACTTTGCACTGAGGTTTTCAAAAATATAAAGCTCTAAGTAGAAGCAAGCAATACCACCACTGGACAGACAGGTCACAACACTGCGTTTACAGGATGCATTACCCACTCACTGTAGTAGGCCCTAAATCCTACCCCTAAATTTTAATACTTTCGGTTCCATATACGTTGTAACCTTCTCTATAGGTTGCTAAATTCTGGGTATGCTGCGAGGAAGTTGGGTTAAAAGTCTGTGCACTCTTTGCCACCTTCATTCTCTTCGCTTCTGCCCTGGACTTGTAACAGAACTCTATCAAAGCCACCAGCATTGCCAAGCCCAATCCGCCAACCAGAATGTAGAAGACGCCTGCCACGTTGCTCAGGCTCAAGGCACTCGTCTTGTCCTGTGGGGGATAAACACACTTCCGTTAACTGTGGAAATGTCACATCCGGAAGGTCAAAGAACAATGAAATCCAAGCAGCTAATTAACATAAGTGTGCAATTTAACCTGAAATCATATATGCATATAAATCACTGATATACCTTTAATATTTAAACATAAAGTTTATAGTGCTCAGAAGTGAAATTATGATTACCAATAAATTGGGTGTAAATACATTCAATAAAATCTGTAACATTTTATCATGATTAACTATGCAACGAAGACCACTATATTTGCCATGATAAGCATTTATATATTTACATAGGATGGTAGAAATGGGCTTTTTATTGTTAAGTTTGAGAAGGATGTGCTTAAAACACAATTACATGAAAAGGTGAACTCTTGGTTTTCCTGCCATTAAACCATATTTTCATGTTTGAAATTTCTCTTGAATAAATCTAACTTCATATTTCCTAATTAATGAACTTTTATTTTTTTAGGCTAGCAATTTCACATTTTGTTCATCAATAGTTTACCAAATATATGCAAATAGTGTGCTCAGGCACACATACTGGTTCTTTCAGTCACATCCATATGGGAAATTTTCTGAAAGGTGTTATTTTACATGCTACCTACTATTTAGGAATAATTACATATGCATCACATAAGTGACTTTTTACTGATAACTTTTTAAAATACACAAATTACCATGGTCAACTGAGAAATAAATTATGTACAGACAAATTTATAACTATTTTTATTGATTTAAAATATTCCATTTCCACTTAAAAATACTTAATTAGTTAATATTTGAGATGTATTATTCTCCAGAGCCTTAGTATACATATTATCTCATAATAAATTCAGAAATAGTCAAGCATATGTTTGGAGGATATTAAAATTATAACAAGAATTCAGAACTTTTAAAATGAATTATAAAAATACATATTATATAATATTATTTGAAAAGTATTTTTGGTAGACTACATGAAGGATGCCTCTGGCCATCATCTTCTCAGCAGTATGTTTTGTGCAAAATGTGATTTAGACACAAATAATTTTATTAGGAGAGAGTTTAATTCCAAAGATGTACTGTGAACACTGTCCACTAACCATGACACCAACTGATTGGGCCACAAATTTAGGGTAATTCCTGTTTTAAAATAGTCACTCATGTATTTGCGCTTCTCAGATTTTACATAAGGATTTGAGATGACCGTGTCATTATTTGGCTGAGCTTGTTTCATTCCACTCTGGTTTAAAGGCAGACAGATGTGATTGAAATATAGGGATAAGCCCTGAAAAGGGAGCTATTAACATGACTTTGTCTCTTTGTTAAATAATTGAGGCTCTCCCATTTAAGCCAGTCACCTATTTAGTCTTGGAATTATCTATCTCTTATCACCTATCTATCTATCTATCATCTATCTATCTATCTACTATTTTTTCTTTCTAAAAGAAGATACAGAAAAAATAAGATTCTAAGAATCCTCAACTATGGCTTTCAGGCACTGTTACTACATTCTATTAATTTGTGTAAATTATGCAGTATTTAGATTCATGGATAAGTTACTTTTTTTCTTTAGAATTAAAATGCAAATGTTTCTAGTACTATTTTCAATAGAATCAGGGCTATAGGGTCCTGCATTGTTCTAGAAACAATTTTATGAACAAAAGATCTTAGAACTTGAGGCTATTATTCATAAATATTGACTTATTTAAATCATTTTTATAAAACATATTTGAAAGGCTCACTCTGTTGATTTGTCAGCACAAAAATATAATAGGGTCTCCAAACTAAAATGGAATAGTTGGCAATATGGTGACAAAAGAATGAACTTCTGAATAAGATATATTTAATATTTAAAGTCTTTTTCTAAATGACTACTCGTCAATTTCTCATTTTTTGTTTTGAAAATACATCTTTTCTTGAAATAATATATCTCATGGTCCCTGACTCCAAAACAATCAAAACCTTAACTCAAAAGCATTTATTTTATTAGTGGTACGTAAGTTTGAGAATAACACAATTTTTATTTATTTTTATTATTTTATATATTTCTGTAGTTAATTTAAATTTATTTAAAAGCCTTATATTGGGGAGCAGGTTGCAATTTCTGGAAAAGACTGTCCCTGTGGCTGAAATTTATGACATTGGTTTCAAATTTAGGTATAGTGTATAGGAAAATGTTTAGTTTTTAACTGAGTCCATATACTTTTTTGACAATTGCTCCCATTTACTGCTTTGTGAACACAAGAGTAGGCCCCGAGCTGCAGCGACTGACCTTGCTTCCAGAGTCCTTGGGTCCACATTCACCTTTATCGTACCACCATTTGTTTTTCAGCTTGTCTAAGACGCCTGCCTCACTGAGTTTCAAAACGGCAAGGTTTACAGGAGTTCTTCACGTGGAAAATAACATAAATAACATTATATATGTTATTTTATGTTATTCAAGTAAAACTACATTAGAATCGCATGGCAAAGTGACAGAGCAGAGGCCACAGTAGTTGCTATGTCTTGTAGTGTCAGCCCAGGATTAGAATCAGACATAAAACTGGGGCCTGCTCCATCGCTTTAGGTAACAGGCACATACTGCTAGGGAGGATTTTTAAATAAACTGTATGCAATTACTGTGAATCCAAAACTATTGGCCTGGGTTGGTTTCTTGAGCATTTATAATTTCCCAATAAGAATGTGGGAGCTACTCAAATTCCAGAGCTGCTTTCTTCCTCTTGCAAAATTAATGGAAGTGGCTGCAGGTTGATAGACAGATTTAAATAGAAGCTAGATAGGACTGGTTTCATTTCCCATCTTTCTTATGATCAGATAGCGGGATTTTAGTTTATGCAGAAAAGGATGCTTGCAGTGTCCGGCATTAAATAGATTTCTTCACCTCTCTCATCCAGGACCCAGCTGAAAGGGGAGGGTGATTCAAGTGTTACTAGACTCCACCTCATATAGGTCCTTATAAACAGACATATGTAAATTATTATTTTAAAGTGTAAGTCCGTGCTGATATTTTCATTCTGAACTTCAGTATTTAACTTACGTAATATCACCAGAAGCAATTTTTATCCATCTTGTGCTGACCACATTAATCTACTTGAAGTATAAAGAGAAGTGACTATTATATACTTTACTACGTCTTACCAATAAAAACCTGACAGGTTAGGTGTAAATGTGATTTTGATAAACAAGCAAACTCCTTGTACCATAAAATCCTGTTTTTTTTTTCTTTTCTACTATCTTTGAGTCTTTCAACACTAATGTTTTATAGGGAGTCTCAAGGAGAAAAGGGTCAGACATCACTCAGTATCAATGTTCCAAGGAAGCTAAGAATTGCTTTTGCTTTCGTTCCCACGTTAACCTCTGTGTATACAAAATAAAGGGTAAGAAGATGGATGGGAAGCAGTAACTCCTAGTATCTTTTGTTGTTATTGTTTTTGTTTTTGTTTGTGGGTTTTTTTTGTTTGTTTTATAAACATTCAGAGAGAGTCGTGTTGCATTCCTCTAGACATTTCTAAGGTTGCCACAGTCATTTTGTCTGGCTATATGTCTTAAAGCCTCTCTTCTGGGAAATGTTGAATGCCTCCAGAGAAACATAACTTGCATTTATTTGGTTACCAACGGATGAATTCCATAAACCTACGTGCAAAACTATTTACAATGATGATGATAATGGTAGCTAACATTTACAGAGCACTTGCTACACACCGGGCATTACTAAAAGCATTTTACATGTCTAGTTACTATTATCACCTGCATTTTACAAATGAGGAAGCAAGGCACAGAGAGATTAACCCATCTATTCACATAACTAGGAATGGTTTAACTAGCTGTGCAGTTAAAACTGTTAACAACAGAATATTCAGGTCATGGGGTTTCTGGTTATTTGAATTTTCTGGTTAACAGGTAAACTAAACAGTTAAGACCTATTCATTTTATACTGTTGGTTCCGATAGTGTTTCCAAAATATATTTTTCTTTTTGTTTATCTGATTTCTAAATAATGAATTTGCCACATACTTGGAATATTGTTTTGTGGATTAAAATCTAACATGAGCATGATTTAACACTTTCTACTAAAAGCTGAATTTGGGGTGGGGAAGGTTATAGTTAATTTAGGGTGAGGACTATGGTTAATTTAGCGGCTATCTCTACAACCTCCGTCTCCATGCTTCACCCTTCCCTCCTCTTTATGACGTGACTATCACAAAACTGCGTTTCAGGTTGGTTGGTGAACTGTGAACTTATCAAAAACAAAAGCCACATTTCATTTACCTTTGTAAAACAGTTTTTTTACTAGGGTATCCATGGAGAGTAAGTGCTCTGTAAAGTTGCTAAGTTTAAATTATTGTGAATCCAGAACAAGCTTTTTCCTTTAGCTGAAACTGGAAGAATATTTATGTTCTCAGGCCAACTTGCCAAAGCCTTTTCAAACCTGTGTAAGTACACTATATTAGCCTATATTACCTTCCTTGAATAGGTGCAGTGGGAGGAGGAGAACTTAAAGCTGAAAAGAGAGAGAAAATAAAAGTAGTTCTGAGTTTCTTCTAAATGGGGGAGGGGAATAAAGGAAAAATTGAGGATTAGATAAAGACTGCCTTTAGTTTATCTCTGTTTCTTCAAGTCATAATTTTCCTGACTCTATTTTTCCCCTGTGTCTTTTGTCTCTCCTGCAGTTCACTTCAGTAGCCTGGTTTTAGAGGTAAGATTAGATTGGATTTAGAATGTAAGATACTTATTATTAACCAGACTTAATGGTCAACTGGTGGAATGTCAGGCACTGAGCAAGGAATTAATTACTGGGAGACCCTTTCTCTTCTCCAAGGGTTAGCTCCCCTAAGTTGTTTTCATTTACCACATTTCCCCCTGTTTATGAATTCAGATTTTCCATAGTAAGTTCTGTATTCTTGCATTGGGCCCCCTTTCTGTGGCGAAGCGAAGTAGGCCATTTATGAGTATAACATATTTTAAAGTCAGGAATGGGATGTATTTTTCAAAGGGCTAAATTAAAAACTGGGTATTATGTGATCTAATATAATTTCTGAAGGATGTGTTACTTTGGTAATTATACCTACCAAATGATTTTTAAATGAATATCCACATCCATGAGTGTGACTACTTTGATATACATATAAGGAGAATAAAGTTTAAAACAAACAAAAGACTCAACAATTTTACAGGTCATGGGTGAATACAGGCATTTGCCACATTTTCTTTCTGGAACTAGGATTAAACAATTCACATAAAAAACTGGCATACAGTTCTGCATGTGGTTGGTGCTCAATCTAAACCATATCAGATTGATCACAGGAGAAAATGAGTTTTAGACATTGTAATGATATTCTTAAATAGGTTCACTGTCAATTAGTAAACTTCCGTTATTTTATTCACAAGAATTACTATGAATTTCTTGTGATCATCAAAAAAATACCACACTGCAATAATATTAACAACTTCAAATGAGTTTTTGAACAAATGACTAAGTACTCCCCGATTCATCCCTTTCCACTTTATTTCATTTAAGAAATAGGACATTTCCCCCTGCTTCTTTTGTAAAATTTTTAATTTCAGTGTGAAGACTCTTGGCTGAGGGTTGCCTTGCTCAGAACTTCATTCCCTGGAAGTGTCTCTCAGGAGAGAGGTGATACTAATTATTTTATAGCTTCAGGTTGTGACTGGAAGTGGCCACAGTGACTCTAAATAGTTCAGCTGTTGGTTACACTAAATCGTAAGTTCCTTAAGGGGAAGGACAGTGCGTAATTCTCTTTTTCCTCAAAGATACTGGTGCCATGAACCAGTTAAAATGGAGGTTTCATATTTGCTGCTGAATAGAAGGCTGAACATGTCTTCCCCAGTTACAATCCTCTGGATGTGAGTCAACTGTCTCTTCGTAAGCTAAACCTGTTCTCATGTGGAACAGCCTTCCATGGTTTCCCCCTTAGTTTCTGCTACGGAGATTCTGTTCTTGGACCTCTGATAACACCGATTCCAGGGTGCTTGTGCTGAGATCTCTGAATGGGCATTTTCTCTTGACAGTATTTAAGTGGCTCTTCTGCTTTGGCTTTACACTCAACGAAGGCTTACAGTCTCTTTATGTTCTAAGTCAGCGCTTTGCTCCTTACCTTTTTTGAAGAAGGTGAAAAACAAAACTGAAAAAGTAATAATTTGCCTCCTGCTAATTTACTTTGAACTAAGTTAGGTTAAGCAGCCATATAAATATCACCTTTTATTACAAATTAAGAGTTGGGCATTATTAACATTTAGACTGCAACCACCTATTATCTTGGTGGTAAATAATGTCAATATACAAGCTAGTAGGAATGTTTTTTAGTATGGAAACAAAATTTCTGAGGGAAAATAGAACATAAGGCAATTTCATTTGGGGGAGCACTTTAGGTTAAATTTTCATAACATTTTAGAAAATTATTTGTTAAAATTTGAAATAGCATTTTAGAATATCATTTTATAGTTCATGTTTGATGAAAGTAGTGTACCAAATACGTATGAGAACAAGCAATTAGATTTTTGAAAATTATAAAGTTAAATTCATATTTATTTCTTTGGTCAGCAAATATTTACTTCATGTCCATTAGGTACCAAACAATGTGTTAGATGCAAACAGATTAAAATCTGAGTTGTCCCACCTTATTTAAATAAATTAAAATGAATTTTGTTGCATATATTTTTCTACTATGTGTATACATTTCTGCTGCTGCTTGCTTATTTTTTCCTCTGGAAAGGCTCTTTAATATATACTAAAATAGGACTTCATTATTCATTTTTTTGGGGAAAATTTTATCTGGTAAGCAGCGTTATACTGCTCTATTTTTGATACAAAGAAATAAAATTAGCAAGTAAAGTTATTCTGATGAAATACGGTATCTTTGTTTCTGTTTTTTTCTGGTGCTATTAGAGCCCATTTTTATATATTTCTAATTTGCATGAAGAAATAGATTATTAGTGTAAATTGGAATAATTTTCTCTCTATGCATACATATATATGTCCACACATTTATTTATATTTTTATGGAAACCATCAAAACATTTTTGGAAAATTAGGGATCCAAAATATGAAAGAATTAATATCTCTTAAGAAAAAACACGTTTGGTACCTCAAATGGAGGTGTCTTGAAGGGGAACCATCCCAAAGGAAGCTCTAAGAACTCTCTCTAGCCTTTCTGTTCTCTTTTTCTCCAGTATTCTCTCTCAGAATAAGGAGATGGATGATCAGCATTGGGTCCACACAGTTCTGTTGTTTCTTTTGCTTTCATGCCTCCCTCTGTGGCCAGAATATTCATTTGGCAAAATTTATCCTTCCTCCTCCTGCAGTAAGGCTGGTTGTTAGATAGGAATATATATACAAGTAAGCTGAATTTAAAGGCTCTTCAGATTGGGAGTGAGGGGGAGTGGGGGAAGCAGTGAAAGAGGGTAAAGTTAGCAGCCACCTATCTGGCAAGTACTCCCTGAAAACAGCATACTTTTTTGTGGGTTGGGTTGCAAAGTGAGAGAATTTGTAGTCCATTTAAGAACATGAAGAGAAGCAGGACTTCTTGTTTTGAGCTGTTCTCTAGATTTTAAAAGGAAGACAAGACTGTATACTTCTATATTTTCAATATTCTTATATACACCAATTGGAGGTATATAAGAAAAGAAAATTCAGTCAGTGTATTCCCATCTCTGGACTATTTTAAGGCTATTTGTAGTGAAGAAGAGCCCTCGGACACTAGGTAGTATGTTCTGTTCATTGTATGCCTCTTTTTTTCCTTTTGACACTGTTTAGAAATGAAAAAAACCCCACAATTTTATGAAGCTGGAAATGCTACACTGAGGCAGTAAAAACATGCTGAGTTGCTCTTGTTTTTATAGTCTGATCATATTGTGGTTTGATATATTTACAAGACACAAAACATTTCTAGTTCACATAATTATCTTTGATTTTCTTTAACTTATTATTTAATGGAAGCTTGTGGGGTTTAGATGGAGAAATAATTTTCTGCTCTGTACACAGATCTAGGTGGAGTAAAGTTATTGCTATCACTTAAAAACATTTCATTGAACTTCTGGTGAACAAGAAAGATGTACTGTCTCTGCTCTTTTCTCTTTGCCAAATTACTCTTTCAAAAACTGTATCTTTTCCTGATTTTTGAAGACCAAAGTTTATAGAACTACAATATTTGATCCACGACTTCTTCAGAGTTATAGATTTCCGGTGACTTATTTTAATTAAGTTTGTTATTGTGTCTCCAAACTGATAATGGTTGCAAATATTTTTGCTTTGACAGTAATTGCATACTTATGTTGTGAAGGGACTTGACTAGCAATTCTGATGGTATTAGTAGGTCCAAACTGTAAGTCTCCCAGCAGATACACCTATTACTTTACATACTGTTTACCCGCTTTTGGTGACATTGAGGCTAACCTTGGAGTCACCTCCCCCGCTGCCACATTCTCCTTTGTCGTACCACCATTTGTTTTTCAATTTGTCCAAGAGGCCTTGTTCATTCAGTTTTAAAACTGCGAGGTTAACAGCATTTCTTGAAACGATAAAACATATTTTGTAAGAAACTGCACAGCTGTTAAGATGTTAGAAGGAATGAGGACTTAAGCTCTCTTAAAAGCTTCTCCCAGACGCTAAATAAACCTCTCATTTTGCCATCCTGCAGCCCTTTCCACCAGAGTTCAAACCAAGGCAATTGTGACTGATTTCAAAGTGTATTAGACATGTGGTATTTAGTGCTGTTTACTTTCACAGTTCATCTATTGTCAAATAACTGACATCACCAATCAATTAGATGGATTTTTTTGAAAACAGTAATAACTTGAATTTACTAGTAATTGAGAAAGAATTGGGCCTTGAATTTCTTTGCCGAGAATGTTAATGACCTAAAAGGGACTGAAATGAAAATTTGTTCCCGGAAGGAAAAGCATGATGGCATATGGCTTTCTGACAACAGTCTGGCTTAATTATTGTTCCCTTTATTACTTTTGTGAGCTTAGTTGGTTTGCTTGATTTAGTTGGTCTCAGGATCTAGGATTTCCGTGTTTGGTTCCTTGTCCTGGCTGGAAGTCACAGGAGAGTTAGGAGAAAGGTAGTGGCAGCTTTCAGGGAAAAGTTTTTTATTTGAATTTTGTGTTGATTCTTAAAGTCATTAGATGATATTTAGATAACTGAAATCATATAGCCAATTTGACTGCTTAAATTAAGTAATTGAACTCTAGGACGTCATGGTGCATGTGATGTGAACTTTGTAAAAGAAATTCTCTACATTAGGTTTTCTCCATGTTAACTAATTTCTACAGGGGGATAGAGGTAACATATTCTAATTATTCTCTAAAGGGATTTATAAAACATTTTCATGGGCTTTTGCCTCCTATGCATTTGGTTCCTTTCTTACTTCAAGTTACAGTTTTAAAATAAGCTATCTCTTTCAAGAGTTTTTTCCCAGCATTTAATGTAATTCTGTTAAATTTAGAGAATGACTGAGATACTGAGAAAATGTGGGTACAGTTTCTACTATGTTATTTGATAAATACTGAGTCTGGTGATTACTTAATGCCAAATGAATTTAAAAAATAAAACATAACAACCCCGTATTATTGAGTAACATCTGAACTTGATCATTCAGTAGACTAATAAGTGTTGCTTCTTTCACTAATAATCAGCCTATTAATGTGTTTATCTCTTAGAATTTGTTTGTAATATTTCAAGTAATCAATGTTCATTTTTCATCTGCTTATGTTGTGATGGTCTGATCCACTTGGAGAGGCAACATTTCCCATTAGTAAACCACACACTTTGAGAGTATTAACTCTTTTTAGAGTTAGACTGCCATTTACTAAATGCTAATTAAATAATTAGCTATTCCCACACTCCCAAATAATTGCCACATTAGTGGCATAAAATAATTAATATACTTCTTAAAGCAAACTATATTGGAGTGTCAGTTTACTCACCAAAAGGACCAGACTGAACTGCTGGCAGAATATTTGATGATGATGGAAACATCTACTTTTTAAAAAAATGCTGCTGGGTGAAAGAAGTTTTAATTTCTTTTGTGTTCACAAGAAACTAAATTTGCCTTTCAATGATTTAAACTTAACTGCTAAAATTTTTTATTTTGGAGAAAATTATTTTTATAATCCACTTTTCTAGCATTAATATTCATATTAGGTTAAAAAAATAAAGTGACATCCCAATTATTTTATGTGCTGGTTTAGACCATTCCTTTGATAAAACTAAAATAATTTCATGAGAGGGTTATTTAACAGGGGTATTAGCCATATCCAAAGACAGTTTCACAGTACAATAGAAAACAAAAAAGCAAAATAAAGGAATGGATAAAGAAAAAAGGCTTTACATTGAGAAAATTTTTTGGAATTAGCTTTCTACAAAATTATTCTAAGACATTGTATTTCTAATATCATGTAATAGGCCATGTAAAAACAGTTTAGTTTCACACTGCTCTCCACGTATGTGTGCATGTATGTCTGTAGTTGGTTGATATAATACACTTGACCAGTAGATAATTCACTACCCAGTTCACAATTAATTCATGTTTTCCTTCCAGAAAATGTGGTCCTTCAAGAAAGTCCACTTTATACTATCAAATATAAAACTAGCTTTTCTTTAATGGTCTATAAAAAGCATTTTGTAATTAATATCTAGAGATAGTCTTCAGGATTTCAAGATTTCCTTGCTTGTTAAAGATGCCTGTTTTCTACAATTGTCTGAAGATGTAATTTCATAATATAATCAGTTTGTGTCTAACAGCCTCTTTAAATTGCTATTTAAGCTGCAACATAAACCACGTATGTAGGACCATTAGCACATGTATTCTGCTTTATGGAATGCATGCTTTTATGTGTTAATAATAAGAATCATCAAATGACTTTAAAAATAAATAAACTTACTTCACTCATTTTGCTAAAATAGATTAAAAAGATTTTTTTATCCTTGATTTATCCAGGCAAAAGGACAAAGGTTCTCTGAAGGAGTAATTGTAAGCAAGCCTAGGGCAGTTATAAGGAGTCAGGCAAATGAGGGGCAAAGATCCTTGCTTCAGTACATTTTCTTATCCCTTTGGAATCCCTTTCATGCATTTCAGACATAGTTTTCAGAAATACATATTGATAATAAGGGAAATTCTTGTCCTTATTAAGAATCGGAGAAGCTATAATAGTGTTATGCCAAGGAGATAAAGAGAAGAAAATACTGGGGGTTCTTTCTTACATTAATGATTCCTTTTATTCTACTAAATGCAGCCTTTCCAGAATAAACTCAGTTGAAATGGGTTGTTTTCAACTAATATTTGAAGAGAGGAAGAACAAGTGGCCATATTATTGCCAGATGTTAAACCACATTTAAGAGCCCACATATAGTGACAATGACCTTTTACAGACTGAAAAAAGACCCAGGTCTCTTACTTATTTGCCATTGTCTTATGCTACAGGAGAATTCTAGGTTTAAAAAAACAAACAAACCTATTTATAGTTTTTCCCATAATAGTCAGATGATGGAGAACTCGATTCAGGGCTAGAAAGAAAACCCTCACCTGGGCAAATTCCAGAATCTCTGGAAAATTTTCAGGGATTTTTATTCCTAACATTTTCTTCGATTGAATTTGGGATTATTAAAATCCATGCCTTATTACCCTAGCATCTGAAACCCATCTTTGTAACCAATAATGTTATTGAAATACTTCATAAAATAAAAGTTTGGGGAGAGGACCTAGCAGAACTAAACTTTTCAATTTATTAATTTTAGGTAAACTAATTAGTGCAAATAAAGATATTATAGGCATAGTTAACTCATACTATATATTTACCTCTTACCCTCTAGCTTTCCATATAATTTATCATTAAAATCTATAGATGTGAACATGCTTTTATGCTTACTTTATGCCATACTCATTATAGTTACTTCTAGACCATATTTATAATAGTGTAATTTTTCTGTTGGTGAGGTTTTAAAGCTTACATCTGATGAAATGTCTACCTAAGTAAAAAAAAATAAAAGTTTAAGTTTGATAAAGTATTTTTTATGATTGCCTGGATTTGTGAATACTATTGTAAAGAACTGATATATGAGGTCCGTCCAGAAAAAGTCCAACCATTGTTAATATAGTGAGAACACTGGTTTCTTCATACGTTGATGATAGAATTAAAAATGGAAAGAAGTAATAATGGCTTTATACAATAAAAGCTTAAAAACAGTTCTTACCCTTGGTAATCACTGACAATAGTTCACCTTTGAGGAATCAGTCTTAAGAAATTAATCAATGATGTTGACAAAAGAGCATAATAAATCTCATAGTATGCTTATATGGCAAAACATTGGGAGCGATTGACATGCCTGACAAAAGGGGAGAAGTAGCTTTTGGTACACAGCAGTGGTTCTCAAGGTTAATTTGAGTATCAGAACCACTTACTATAAAACAGATGCTTGAGACTAATCTTACTATATCAAATTCTTCTGAATTTGGAGCAGCATTTCTACATTTTTATGGAGTACCCTAGGTGATAGTATTTATAAGCAGTAATGATCCTTATGAGTGAATGTTTTACAACTATCAAAAGTTTTTAATAAGAGAAAATGCTTATAGTATAATGTTATATGAAAAAGGAAACAAATTTGTATAATCATTGTGATTTTAATTTGATAATAAAATATTATATATTTTAATGGAAAAATGTACCTATGGAAGGATTGTAATTAATTTAGATTGCATTTGGTTCTTTAAATTTCTCCACCTACCCACAATTTTCTACAATGAGAAGTAATACTTTAATAATCAGGAAAAAAATGCCCTCTCAATTATTTTATAATATAATGTCTAAAAGAATTGTTTTTATGCAAACCAAAATACATATTTTATTTTCAATTAAAAAACTTGAGAAAGAAGTAGACTTTAGGAATTACTCTTAAGAATCTCAGAAAAACATTCGTTGTTCCTGATTATGTAGTTTGTTTTGTTCCACTTGGTTTTGTGTCTCTAGCCACAGGCTGGAGGAACTATGATGAATTTGGCTTCTACAAAAGTTCTACCTTTTTGAGGGGAACAGATTGGGCAGAGAAATATTAGGGGACCTACCCTATCAGATAGAATCTGCAGGAGGTTAATGGAACTCTCAGTGGCTTAGAGAGACTTGATGTTTTCACACATAGTCACATGAGAAGTAAAGTTTTTTTTCCCTAAAGCTGAATTAAATGATTGTGATGGTGAATAGACTTGAGTCCTGCTAAGTGGGCCATTACAAATAATGTACATATCTCCAGTTTTCGAAAAAGAGATTCCTTGCCTGGAAACTATGTTAGACATCCCAGGAGAAAAAGTGTATTTCAATTCTTTGAAACAATTTTTTAAAATTCTGTTTTTGAAGACTTTCCACATGTTCACTGTATCTTTTTTTTTTTTAAGTAAAATTCCAGGTTGGAAAACTCATATGTTTTAAACTTTGTTATGTGGCAGGGAAATATATGAAGAATGTTTTTTTCAGGACTACTCTAGTAAGAAAGTAGTAATTTCATAAAAAA